TCTATATATAGTTTTATATATATATATATATATATATATATATATATAAACACCTGAGGACTACAGGTTCCTGCTGCTTTAGCTCCTCTAATGCAATCTAACAGTCTCATTAGGGGAGTTAAACTTTTCTGAAGCTGTGAAAATTTGCATTTGCAAAAAGGTTGATGATCCGGAGCTAATAGCAGATGTTCTCAATAGGGTTGTTATGGAAATGATTAGAAGGTCATCTGCTGTCAGGGTCACCCTTTTATTTCATGGAAAAAAATGTGAGTGTTTTACTCTTTTAGAATTTAGGGCATGAACATGTTAACATTTTAATGTGTTTAATTTTTTAAATGGCTATTTAATCAAATCATCTACATGGTCGACTACAATATCCGCTAAATCAAATTCCATGCTTTATATTGTATATTTGATAAAAAAAACATCAAATCATATCAGCATTGGTGTTTTTTTTTCCAGCAAAACTGATGTGTCAACTTATGTAATATAAATATTAAATTTGCATTGAAAAGCAGTGTTGAGAGGGAGATCATTCTTTCGATGTTATACACACAATTAAACACTAGAGGGCAGCACAGTCAAATAAAGTCAAACAAGCAGGTTGACTGCATGACTGATTGCCCACTGCTAATGAAAGCTACCTGCACAGAGAGTTTTTATTGCAAGATTTAAGAACTTAATACAGTTCCTTTGATAACAACACATATTAACACGTAATTTTGAGAATGTTTCAATGAAAATATATTTTCATTTAGAATAGTGCTGATAGTCAAATAACAATATTCTCCAGTATACTCTAAACACTGCTGTGGGCATTATATTATGTCTTTTACAATGAATAGAGTATACTGGAGAAGACAGGTCTACACTAGTGCATGTCTTACAATTCACTGTATGAGATAGTGACAGCACTTAAATGCTTTGAGAAGTAGTGACAGAGGCCTGAGGCGAGGAACAGGATGTGTAACAAAGTGTGACAGGTTGACCTTGCCTGATGCAGTCATGTGAGTCATGTGGCCCACCCAGTTCCACAATGAACAACAAATGTTCCAAGGGTCTCCTTGAATGGGACTTCATATGTTCAAAATAACATACTACCATGCTAATTTTCATATTGTTTTTCTATGAAATATATCGATGGAATACGTAGATGACGTCTGCCAAAATTCACTCCACATGCAATACTCTACTCCCACAATGCAATCCTGTGTGACAAATAAATTGGAACTTTGTGTAATTCAGGATTTTTAACATCTTTTTGAGTGAACTGCCAAATAAGACTTACACAAATTAAATTACAATTGCAAATTAACTATTTTGTTTTCAAGATTTTGATTTATTAATCAATTCATTAAAAAATAATCACAAAATAAATGTACCCAATTTTCTTGAGTGTCTAAATAATTTTGCGGCAGCGCACTTGTATCACACACTGCACATACAAGAAGAGACTTGCATACTTATAATAGATGATTGAATTTCAAATGTCAATGACGGCTGGAAATACTTACCTAAAAAGCTGTGCATGAAGGGGATTTTCAAATTGAGTTCAAGTTGTCTATATATATATCTATACCCTGAGCAGCACTTACATACATCCAACGTCCTCCAAAATATTTGTCAAATATTTTTAAGAGCAAGGTGTTACAGACCTTTAACACTACTTATATCTATATCTATAACACTATATATATATGAGTGATTCTTCAGTTTGGAAAAACGTATTTAAAATACATTTAATCTCTGTTAACCTTTATTTATCATATGCAAAGGAATAAATGTCACATAATGAATTTGATCAACCTTCAAGTGGTTTTGGCATAATATGTAATAGTGTTGACTTTTTAAAATCTGGGTATTGTATGTGATAGGAATGACAACTTTAATTTTTGGAGAAAAAGCACATTTACTAACACAACAACTTACAAAATACTAGCTAGCAGTCTGAAAATAATACACAATTCATAACATAATTATACATAATAATACATAATTCTTTACTACCAAAAATAAAAAAAAAACATTAAAATAAATAAATAAATAAATACCAAATGAATACTACCAATAATTTAATATAATACTACTACTACTAATAATAACCAAATGAATTATTAATTATATATATATATATTATTA